ACTTAGTACTAGCACTAATTAGAAAACAGAATTCCTTTTTTTCAAATTGTTAAATCAGAATCCAATGGAACTGCTTTGCATTCTTCACGTAATGTCGTTTACCTTCTACGTTTGCGGACTTTGATCGTTCGCCTTGTTCTCTAAAATGTCCGATTTCCGGCACTAAATTCGCCTTTCTGTTTTCCTGCGTTTTGAGCAGGCTTTTTGGTTGTTTTTCTGCTGGATAATCTGACCCGGCTGGCCTGCATGCGCCAGGTACACTCTGACCGGGCTGTGTTGAATGTCTAGAGCAGGCCCTGTACCACTACCACTGTACCAGTACATCGATCGAGTTGTGCAGTAGACAGGCGTATCCAGAAGCAACCGTTGCTAGGCTCTGCAAGTGCAAGTTAGTTAGTTAGGCGACACTAGTGAGGTTTTGCATTCCGAAATTCGGTACAGCGTTCTTCGGTCATTTGTCGAACATCAAAATGTCGAATTTTCGCACCAACGTTTGTTTTGCAAGTCGAAAATGATGTGTTTTCATTTCGTGAGCCCCAGCATCAGCAACGTCCCGTCCCGTGCTCCCTTTCTTGCTGATTCCAACGAACTTTGATCGCCCAAAGAGTCGAGGGCCAAACCCGCCTCCTCAGTCGCCTCAGAAAAACCAACTCCATGGCCAAGTCAAATTTTATGCGTGTCGCCATAGTCTTTTCAGCCACACAGATGACGGTGAGGACACTCCAGGCGAAAGAGAGTCGACAGGCAGTGGAGAGGAGCAATCAGAGGTAGCTGACGATGCTATGTCGCCAAAGACGCCTGCCAAGCGATGCCGAGATAAGAAACCTCTTTGAATAAATCACGCGCTAGCGCTCTCTGCAAGAAAATGCATCCGAAAATATTTTCGGCAAAGTGAGCTTTTTCCGAACAAACACTCCGAATCTTCGTGTGCGTTTTCGACCTCGCTCTTGCGTGCCGAATCTTTTTGCCGAATTTCGGAATGCAAAACCTCACTACTGACTCCGAAGAGACCTAAATCCCAGAGAAAAGGCTTCCTCTGTAAGACTAAGAGAGTTAGCGTAAGTAAGTTAGTTCAGACCAGCGACAAAGGCTCAGCTTTCTTCTTCTTCTTCTCAAGTTCAAACGCATGCACACACATAGCACATACACATACACACGCACCAGTACTAATCCCGACCCGCTCCCCATACCACACCACTGCCATGTGTCATGCAAGCAAACCGTCAGAAATCACGGCACATCATCTCGGCAGGAGCTGCACAAGCAGCCACTGGGTAACACAGCCATAATTATGCTCATAAAAAAAACTAGTTTCAGTCTAAGGATGATGGCAGTAAGAGAATTGTTTTAGAATCCACCTTGCCATCAATAAACAAGATAAATGCTATGTATCAGAAACGTTCAAGGAAAGCAAGTTCACCTCATCATCCAGTGCGGTGAAAAAATGGAAATACCTCTACAGTGCATGTCGTCGTGAAGAATTCGACGGCTATGCATCAAAGCATTGCTCAAAAAAGGTATTACAATCTGCATTTATAAGGAGTCAAGGTCAATTCAGCAGCGGTGTGCTGGACAATGCGATTTAAAATATCAATGGAAAAATAGTGTTCAAACACATGGATAGTGAAAAGAAGCTGGTAGGTAAGTTGGTGCCAATATTATCCGTCCTTTGTGTCACAATAGCCTTTTAAGAAGAAGAAAAATAGTCGCGTGAACTTGCATAATCTGGGCTGGGATAAGATATTTGGACAATTGAGATTGGAAATCATCGGTGGGTACAACAAGAAATTCACACTCCGTGTAGCTCTGAAATGACCAGTTTTACGGCAATAAGTTGCTGTTCTGAGATTAGCGATGGAATTTATTTGAAGAAGTTTTGAAATGACTATGGCCAGAGAATCGTTGCCGTAGCCTCAGACTATGGACAAGCATGTCCTGACCACATTGCCGATTTTATTTAAATGCTTCAATGGAGGTTTATTATTGACTGCACGCATCAGTTGTGTGCACTATGGCTAACGGAAAGCTTCAGTTGCCGATAGGAGCGTGCGCACAGAAAAACGACACTGGCCACATCGTCATCACTCCAAGTTGACACTGCATAGGGCTACGGACTGACGTTCAGAAGTGCCAGAAGTGAAGTAAACATCCAGTGCTACATACTCTGAATGGGTACAACGTGAACTGGATGCGGTACACACATGATAGCAGGTAGCTGAGCCAGGCAATTGTGAGAGGAGGCATCCGAAGAAACGACTATAATTATACTGGTCAGCAGGCACATACATGTACTCTCACATTACTGCTCAATGGGACGCTGTCGATCCCTTGCCTGGGCATCCCGTGCAACCCTGAGGCTGTGCGTGTTATCAATGTCGACCGAGGAATACGTTGTCTCACTCATCCGTCCTCGGAAGTGAGACGGCAAGCTACCGACTGAACTGGAGCCGCCAGACGCAGACGAAGACCGAGCTCCTGCGGCCACTGGCAATGACGTACTCCCAGGGTTGCCGGCACTATTCAAAGAGCCCTGATCAAGCTTCGCATAGTTCACATTCTATACACACAAACACAAACAGCAGAACATTTTGAATACGAAAGTACGGAAAGCTATTACGAAGTTCCAAACTGCACACACTCCCAAAAACCACATGACAACTGTTTTCGGTAATCCCAGGGTAAAAGCAAAGAAATTGGAGACACTCTTGGCCATTGTGTGAATGTTAATCACACCAGCACTCCACGATGCGATCTTGGCCGACTCATTGCCAGCCCATTTCATGTTGTGACACAGTATTGGCACATGAAGTTGGAGAGATTGGTTGATTGGTGACAGGAACACCGGGAGGGGGGGGGGTCACATGACAGGGCACAGGCACAAAGGACGGGTGGGGCCGGGGCACCAGGTGCGCGCACGTGGGTGTTCACACGTGACCGAGCACCAGTTCAGCTAGCTCAGCAAAAATGATTCATGATGATGACAAGAATAGCTAAGGGTCCAGAGCTAGCTCTCTTGCCATATTTCATGCAGATTGCAGTCCAGAGACTGTATTTGTGGACAGAAGTAGTTCCTTTTAAATATATACACACATAATTCATACCAGGTATTACGGTATCAGAAAACTGTATTTTAGTGATTGAACTTCGAGTCATTGCAACGTTAGATATACGTCCTTGATAGAAGTCCAGGTCTTACATTATTTTGTCTACTACCTTCTGACCTTTGACCTGCTTGCTGGGCGCGCTTACAGTCAAAACCTGATAAGACGTACCCACAAGGGAACACGGAAAAAGTACTTCCTTGCGGAAGTGATTACTACACCCATGCTGCAATCAACAGTGCCAATTTTACATCAACTGCAAAAAGTACGTACTGCACAATCATGAGTTTATCCTACACCCGGTACTAACTAACCGCTTTGGACTGTACTTATGACATTGGCATGCTCACTTGAGCTGGGTGTGTTCCAGTCATGCAGCAGCAGCAGCAGCAGCAGCACACACACGCGCGCGCACACACGCACGCACACACACACACACACACACACACACGCACCACACACATACACACACACACACACACACTACACACACACACCCGCACACACACACACACACACACACACACACACACACACACACACACACACACACACACACACTCACACACACACACATACACACACACACCATTGGACCATTGGACGCCCATCGCCGGAGGCGATGATAGCGATGCTACAGCAGAAGCCATAGCAACTTGTGCTGGGATTGCACCATTCAACAGCTTGCAAGGCTGAAGAATTGGCCGCCACTATTCAGCCTGGTCTACACCACACAGCTATGAAGTGGCTTTTTATGGCCAGTGAATCCCTACTTACACACACACACACACACACACACACACACACACACACACACACACACACACACACACACACACACACACACACACACACACACACACACACACACACACACACACACACACACACACCTCAGACCTCAGACATGCCCATCGCGGAAGCGATGATAGCGAACAGCTATGTTAGACATAGCAACTTGTGCTGGGATTACACCATTCAACAGCTTGCAAGGCTGATGAATTGACCGCCACTAATTTTAGCCTGGTATCCACCACACAGCTGTTTGAAGTGACTTTTTCTGGCACACACCATTGGACCATTGGACCATTGGACGCCCATCGCCAGAGGCGATGAT